CCAATTCTGCAAGGAGCCAATTAGCAAACCTCAGTAAGGAGGGCTTGCGACCATGCACCCTATGAAGACACACAACTTCTCAGTCTGTACAGTTAAGTGACACTGACACTGGATTAGAGGACATTCCGTAGCTTCTCCCATGCTTTCTATGTTTCTCTCTTAGCGCAGAATAATCATAATCTTGGGTAATGCCATAACTAGAAAAATTGCTGTTAGATGCCGGTTGAGGTAGATACACGATCAAAGTTCTGGAAATCATTTAAGCAGCAGCAGCAGGGGCCTGAAATTCTGACAAGTTAAATCTGACATTGCTAGAGATTCTAGATCTGGAATGCCTGAACTGGAACTAAAAGGATCAGCACTTAAAAGTCTGCTATCACATTGAGCATCGGAACGTGTTGATTCTGATAGTTGACACTGTGGTGATCTTGGAGAGAAAAGGGAGACTGATTTGCTGAAAAGAACGCTGAAGATGATGATGACATATTCCTTGAAGTTGTGATGGGCAGTGACCCAACCTAGCTATCTTCTCCTATATCCATACTTATGAAATTTCCCGCCTCCGAAAGATATTAAACCCCATGCACGCCTTCTAGAAGATAAGAACCATACTGAAATGGATAATATAGCTTTAGTAAGCAACAAATCTCCCTTGAAAGGAACAGAAATACAAGAAAAAAATTGGTATTAATAAATCTTTATCCATCATTATCATTTCAACAGTTATCAATCAAGCATTTCATCCTAGTCAAGAATTCACAATGATAATGGAGGAAAGCATCATCATTCATAAATTAACCAAAAAAAATAACTGTAAGCCACAGGGAGAAAAGCTGAACAGCATCAAAATTAACAAATATTCATAACATTTAAACAGATTCTTAAACTTGAGTACAACGAAGCTAAAAATTTTAAGAAAGGAAAGAAAACAAAACGACCTTTTGGAAACAATACAGATTCAGAATTGTAGAGAAGTTTCACAACATTCATAATGGTAACTTGGTACCTAAAATGGTGATAAATATATAACGATACAGACAACATTTTTCAGCTATTAAGCTTCAAAGATCCATGTAACCAGATTCAGATAAATACATAGATGAAAAGTAGAAAAAGACAACGAGACCCGTTGCCAAAATTTGAAAAGAAACTCAATAACCTCATCACTGAACTTGAAGAAAGACCATTATAGATCTAAACAAGCTATTTCAAATATAAAGAAAGCTTAAAATGAGAGACCCACTTCTGAATAAATAGAAAAAAAATTATAAATTTTCAACGGTAATTCAGATCTGAGAACTTACTCGGCTTTAAAGCTTGAAAATGGTATCATAGATTCATGTTTGCCCCCAAATTAATCACCCAGTTGCTTTATCCATGATAAACCCGAAATTTTTTTAAATTTTGACTCAGCCAATCTTTGAGTGTCATTTGCAAACAGTGCACCGAACTGCAAAACAATAATTGTTTTATAATAATCACCAAAAGAAAAAAGAAAAAACACTGTAAAGAGTGAAAAGGGTATCTACTGTGAGCTTAAAACCACGAGGTGTTCAATCAAGATTGATAAACATGTTAAAAATGATAGTCCAAATGTAGAGTTTGAAGTTAACAGAGTTTAGCATTAGACTGACGATAGAGATTTGATAGGGACTTGAGTTCCGAAAAAAACTAGACAAAAGACTCGAAGATTTTTAGGGAATGAAATTTTATCAATGGCTAAATAGCTTACCTTCAGTGGAAAAAAAATCTCAACCTTCAAAACCCACACACAAACACCGCACAATGATATTTGTTTTCCAAACAAAAAACACACGCTTCAGAGTAAAGACCCTGCTTCCTTTGTCTATACAAAAACACTTTCTTTTTTAATTTTGTTTAGCTTTCTAAAGAAACAAAAATTTGTTTTTGCTTCTCTCTCTGGATATTCTGTAAAATTTTGTTGTCAGTTGAGACTGTGAGAGAGAGATAGAGAGAGAGGCTGAATTGAAGCGTTGGAAATTTTTTTTTTATAAATTAGGGACCCAAAGAACGGATCTGACGAGGTATGGGTTGGTAGGCTCCAGTCCACTGTAACGGAGTTTCCCTTTTGAAAATACTTTTGGTTTTGGATTCACATAAGGGAACTGAAACTTGGTGTTTGTCAAAATGTCCCTGTTGGCTTCTTGTTTAAACTTTCTGAATCTAACTATAACTAACTACATGGGTTTCTGGTTTCACCATTTCTAAGAAGATTTGTATTTGCAATTACATTATGTTATGTGATGTCCCCATTTCATGTACTTAGCATCTTAATTATTTTAATTAAGAGCTTTTATTAGGCTAAATTTTACAATAATATGTGTAATGATGAAGCGGGTTGGGCAATGATTTGAGAATTCACTATTGGATGGAATGCAATCAATTTTGTTCTGATTTTGTTGTCTAATTCATTACAATCTGCCTGTGCCTGTGCCTGAGCTTGAAGAATGACAATAACTCAATTGGGGATACGCAAAATCTTCCTGGGAATAGTATCTGATTTTCTATGCATCAAATATGGAAGCTACTTTCCATTTGTAATTTGACTGACCAAAAGCCAATGACAAAGGGCTAGCTGGCTTCTCTTAATTGCCATTTCCATAACATTCTCCTTTCTGATTTATTACCGTTTAAACTGGTCACAGCTGATATAATATGTATTTCTTTTTCTTCCCCAAATCATTGGTGTATAACAAGTAACAAACCAAGCTTCTGTGGTTGACTTGAATGATATTTGGATTGGCCCCTTTCAACATCAGTCCAAAACACTCTTTGGTACACTTCCTAGCACGCTGTCATGTGATGCCCCACAACACAGTTATTTTTACGGCTCTCATCTATTCACACTCTCTTCGGTTTTTCATGCAATCAATTAGTTCCATTACAAGAGAGAGTCGTAGGTGTATTTGAAGTTTGAAGTATGAATAGAGTTTATGACCCTTTATTAGAGAGTTTCTTATTTTTCAATAGTAATAAGCAATCTTGTAAAGATAAATAAACCCTTCTGTATCAGGTTTGAAGTTTGAACAACCCCAGAAATGTCCCCTTAACTTAAGAGACATTAAGAGTACAAGTGTGTAAAGCATAAAAGAAAATTATGAAGTTTGGAAGGTGCTCAAAAGACAAAATTCATAGGGTTTATTTTCTTAACATATATTATATATAATAGCTCAAGAATTATTTAATTGTGTTGGTATGTTGACACAACTCAAGTGATGGTGGGCCAAACCGAAACCCATAGAGGAGGAAATTTGTCAGCATCATAAGTTTGATCAATCACTCCAAAATTGATTGAAATTTGTCTACTTCTGAGCAACATGGACCAACTCAAACAGGCATTAATGGAGTAAATGTTGTCAGAAATCTTCAATTTCATGAGATTAGGATGCATGTCGGGTTACAAACAAACCCCATTATAAACTTTTCAACAATGTTACTATTTTAAATTTGCATTTCAGTTTTCAAAATGTAATATTAAGTTGTTTGAGTTGTGACAGCACTGCAGAGAACATTATCTGGAAAGTTGTGAGCTCCAGGCGCGCAATTGCACGGTCTTCACTGCTCATAATTAGGCCCATTATCAGGAAACTGTTTAAAGAACGACATTAGTTGGCTTAATTACCCTCATTATTTGCCCTAATAAATGTTAAGGCTACGGATACCAATAATTTACACTGAATATCTATGAGCATGGCTTATTTATGTTTATATTCCTAATCCTATTCCTCAAAATAATATTTGGTATATTATTTTTAAAATATTATTTATTATTTTAATTATTTTTAGATCCCATAAAATTATTATTTATTAAATACCATTTGAAAAAAAGTTTAAAAATTAGCAAAACATCCTCACGACGCAAGTAATTATTTATTTGTACTATAATGTTATAATTAATTAAGTAATTATACTTTAAATCTATAATGTAATGTTATAATTAAATAAATTTTTAATTATTTAATTAAGTAATGTACTAAATTAATAATGTAATGTTATAAACTTATAATTAATTAAGTAATCATTTAACTATAATATAAATATGTAATGATATACTTAGAACTTGATAATCGAAGTAAATAACTAAGTATTATATTATTATTCAATCAAATATACTATTTTATTCAAAAATAATTTTTTAATAACATTAAAACACTTTTAATTAGTCCTAATTCCAATTATACACTTAATTAATCAAAACTTTAATATTGATATATTATAACATATTAAAGTTTTTTATATGATGTAGTTTATATGTAATAAGTATAATTGTATATTTATTTAGTTAGGTTATTGTAAAAATTTAACTTTTTCCATTTAAAATTTGTTTATATGTAAAATTACAATGGACCCCCCATTTTTTATAGATATTTTAGCCCAGGTTCCAAAATAGGGTACCCGCTGCAGGTTTCAAGCCGAGTATCTACTACAGGTTCTTTTTTCTAGGTTCCGGTTCCTCCACATGTAGGAACCGGAACCGAAACTGTACAATATCGGATAAAAAAAATGGAACCAGAACCTACCCACACAATATCGATTTCGGTTCTGGTTTTGATTTTATCCACAGGTTCCGGTTCTACCGCTACCTGTGCTCACCCCTAGGCCTTTTTCTTGACATCCATTTGGGCCATTTCCAATTTATTCCTTATATAATTAAATACGAAATAGTAGAAATGTAAACGGTTGTAAAAGTGAGTAGAAAAATTATTTTAAGCTATATCTGAAGTCAAAGGAGCCCTTATAGCTCAGTGGTAGAGCTTCAGTCTTGTAAACTGAAGGTCCGTAGTTCGATCCTGCGTGAGGGCAATGTTTTGCTTTTTAAAATTTATTTTTCTTATTTTGATTGTCTTGAGTCTCAGACCAAGGGTCCAAGACAAGACAAAGCTTCAGAAGTTGGGGGTTTCATCTTATTTTGACAATTAATGTGTAATGTAGCTAAAAGAAGGAACATGTTAAAATGGAAGGACAATTCATTCAGGGATAAAAATGGTATGAGAATTGCTCTAAAATTGAATTGTTTACATCAGCTTTATTTGTAAACTCTGTATAATTCTAATGTAAATTATGCTTACAATAAAATATAAAATCTATGGTGAAGTAGTATGAATTTGAACATTTGCAAGAAGCCTGGTGAGTTTGCTTAGAGTTTCTCGAGCAGCTACTGTGTCTGGATGATCCTCACCACTAATTGAAGTTCTAATAAAAACTGCCTTCCTAATTAGATCATCTCCTATGTCAAATTGCCCTCCTCTTAGCATTAGCTTCGCCCTAGTTTCAAGCACTGTTGCTCTTGATAGTGCCAACTCTTGCCATAGAGATGGATTTAACTGTGCATTAGTCTTGACTGGCCTCCAACAAAGTGATTTGTCTATCAACTTCTCAACCGGGGTAACAAATTCGTGATCTGCCGCCTCCAAGGCATTTGTGCATAGACGTAGGAGTTCCAAAGCAGCGGTGCACTGAGATAATGTGATGAATGTCCTGATTGCAAGAGGCAAAACCAATTCTTTTACCAAGTATAACAACTGTGACACCTTGAGCTCAACAGCTTTTTGTTCAGTTCCGAATCCAAATGCCAAGAAACATGCTGCCCATATATGAGGCGAATGATGGAATATAGAACCACGACTGATGACAGATTGAACCACTGCATGAGCAACTCCAGTAACTGCTCTCTTGCGAGCATAAAGCTTGACAAGCTCATTGAAATGGATGTAACCTTGCCTGGTACTACTTCTTGCAATATTGAATCTCAACAACATAGAAGATGCTTCAGCTTCTGATCTCTTGGTATATGAGGAAGTTAGTCCACAACTCAAGGAACATAATAACTGTTTCCAAATTCGGGTTCCCTTATACTTCTCAGGTACTTTGTGAGCAGCGAGGAACAATAGGGATACCGGAATTGCAGTTGGTGCAAACCACCCACTTGCTAGGACCATTCTGGTTGCCAAGCTCCTTGGCCCATCAGCATGATCAAATATTGAGAAACACACCTCAAAGAGTTGTAGTAGGAAAGTATTTCTCCTCAACGAATGAGCTTCTCTACCACTCCATGATAGGTCCCTCAAGGGCATTCTGTTAATGGTATCCAAGAGCCTGCTTGGATTAATGGGTAGCTCAGACAAAATTGCACCCACAATCGCTAGGCCCATGGTTAGCCTTCCAACTTTCTCCTCAATTACCCTGAGGGCATCAACTTCTGCTATAGGGTAGTCCTTGACACCTCCCTGCATTAAAGTCATTGCTTCCACCCCAGACAAGTAGGAGAGTTTTAAAGGTTCCAAATTCATCACGCGAGAAAGGCGCGTGGATATTATAATGTGGGTCTCTCCACCAAAACGAGGAAGCAGATCCATTATAAGTTTGTGATCCCACCAATCCTTTTCACTCTCTAAGTTATCGATGATTACTAAAAATGGTATGTTTCTCATGAGTTCTTTGCGAACTCTAGAAATGGCAGCCTCTTCCTGCTCTTCGAAGCTTTTTATTCTGGTTTTCTCTGAGCAACTGTCAACCCCAACATCAACTTCTAGAAATGACCAGAGATTCAGATAATTCTGTCTTATATACCTGCTTTCGCCTCCTATCCATAGAACCATCTTGTATCTTTGCTGAAATCTATAGGCAAATTCCAGAAGAAGTTCAGTCTTGCCAATCCCAGAGTCTCCTGTTACACAAGCAATACCCTTTCCATACACAATCTTTGATGATCTTTTTCTCCTTGAATATCGTCCACCACTTTTAGCCCTTGGTTTTTCAGGAACGTCAGTGCTTTGCATCTCAATCTCCTTTTCTGACTCCTTCCATACCACTGGTTCTTTACCTTTCTTGCTGCCACTCTCCCTTTGCCGTTCCCTGCGTCTTTCCTCCAGTGAACTGTTCTTACTCCAACCAATCATAAAATTCTTTCTCTTGGGTCTAGCCTTAAGCTCAAAATAATCTCTTTCTGTGTCTCCACTAACATCACCAAAAAGTATAAATTCTAACTCTGATAATTCTTTCTTCCTGCCAATAAAATTCTCATTTCGAGGGAAAGGAAACTCCTCTTTATCCAACTTTTCTCTCCATTTGGTCAACCGCTCAACAACACTTCTCCTTCCTAACTTTGTAGCCAATAGTGTGACAGCCCTCAATATGCAATCTCTCCAATTACCTTCCTGAGCTTCCAATTTCCATTCGTCAACCCGAGAGAGGCCATTAACAGCTTCCCTCCATTCCTTCTCCAATCCTCCATAGAGAACCCATATCTCACCCCCATGTTTTTCCCACAGTTCTCCCCTCTTCTCAACTATATCCCTGACAAGGCAATCACCTGGACTTAAATCAAAGAATATCGGAACTAAATTCTTCTTGCTGGAAAAGAAACGAAGCTCCTCAATGCTATATGGATTTTTAAAAGACTTTCTTGTGAGGATCACAACCCCAAAAGAAGAAACATCCATTGCTCTCTCAACAATTCCATGTTTACGAGAATTTCTACATCGTGCTCTATCAGATACAAAGCAACTAATCCCTTGAATCTCCAATTCTGCAAGGAGCCAATTAGCAAACCTCAGTAAGGAGGGCTTGCGACCATGCACGCCTATGAAGACATCACAACTTCTCAGTCTGTTACAGTTAAGTGACACTGACACTGGATTATAGGACATTCCGTAGCTTCTCCCATGCTTTCTATGTTTCTCTCTTAGCGCAGAATAATCATAATCTTGGGTAATGCCATAACTAGAAAAATTGCTGTTAGAGATGCCGGTTGAGGTAGATACACGATCAAAGTTCTGGAAATCATTTAAAGCACATGCAGCAGGGGCCGCTGAAATATCTGACAAGTTAAATCTGACATTTGCTAGAGATTCTAGATCTGGAATGCCTGAACTGGAACTAAAAGGATCAGCACTTAAAAGTCTGCTATCACATTGAGCATCGGAACGTGTTGATTCTGATAGTTGACACGTTGGTGATCTTGGAGAGAAAAAGGGAGACTGATTTGCTGAAAAGAACGCTGAAGATGATGATGACATATTCCTTGAAGTTGTGATGGGCAGTGACCCAAACCTGGAGCTATCTTCTCCTATATCCATACTTATGAAATTTCCCGCCTCCAAAAGATATTAAACCCCATGCACGCCTTCTAGAAGATAAGAAGCCATACTGAAATGGATAATATAGCTTTAGTAAGCAACCAATCTCCCTTTAAAGGAACAGAAATACAGGAAAAAAATTGGTATTAATAAATTCTTTATCCATCATTATCATTTCAACAGTTAATCAATCAAGCATTGTCATCCTAGTCAATAATTCCACAATGACAATGGAGGAAAGCATCATCATTCATAAATTAACCCAAAAAAATAAAAATAAATAAATAACTGTAAGCCACAGGGAGAAAAGCTGAACAGCATCAAAATTAACAAATATTCATAACATTTAAAACAGATTCTTAAACTTGAGTACAACAAAGCTAAAAAATTTAAGAAAGGAAAGAAAACAAAACGACCTTTTGGGAACAATACAGATTCAGAAATTGTGGAAAAGTTTCACAAACATTCATAATTGGTAACTTGGTACCTAAAATGGTGATAAATATATAACGATACAGACAACATTTTTCAGCTATTAAGCTTCAAAGATCCATGTAACCAGATTCAGATAAAATACATAGATGAAAAGGGTAGAAAAAGACAACGAGACCCGTTGCCAAAATTTGAAAAGAAACTCAATAACTATCATCACTGAAGCTTGAAGAAAGACCATTATAGATCTAAACAAGCTATTTCAAATATAAAGAAAGCTTTAAAATGAGAGACCCACTTCTGAATATAATAGAAAAAAAAATTATAAATTTTCAACGGTAATTCAGATCTGAGAACTTACTCGGCTTTAAAGCTTGAAAATGGTATCATAGATTCAATGTTTGCCCCCAAATTAATCAACCCAGTTGCTTTAATCCAATGATAAACCCGAAATTTTTTTAAATTTTGACTCAGCCAAATCTTTTGAGTGTCATTTGCAACCAGTGCACCGAACTGCAAAACAATAATTGAATTTATAAATAATCACCAAAAGAAAAAAGAAAAAACACTTGTAAAAGAGTGAAAAGGGTATCTACATGTGAGCTTAAAACTCACGAGTGTTCAATCAAGATTGATAAACATGTTGAAAATGAGTAGTCCAAATGTAGAGTTTGAAGTTAACAGAGTTTTAGCATTAGACTGACGATAGAGATTTGATAGGGACTTGAGTTCCGAAAAAAGACTAGACAAAAGACTCGAAGATTTTTATGGAAAATGAAATTTTATCAATGCTATAAAATAGCTTACCTTTTCAGTGGAAAAAAAATCTCAACCTTCAAAACCCACAACCACAAACACCGCACAAGCTATATTTTGTTTTCCAAAAACAAAAAACACACGCTTCAGAGTAAAGACCCTTGCTTTCCTTTGTCTATACAAAAACACTTTCTTTTTTAATTTTGTTTAGCTTTCTAAAGAAACAAAAATTTGTTTTTGCTTCTCTCTCTGGATATTCTGTAAAATTTTGTATGTCAGTGAGACTGTGAGAGAGAGAGACAGAGAGAGGCTGAATTGAAGCGTTGGAAATTTTTTTTTTCTTTTTTTATATAAATTATGGGACCCAAAAGAACGGATCTGACGAGGTATGGGTTGGTAGGCTCCAGTCCACTGTAACTGAGTTTCCCTTTTGAAAATACTTTTGGTTTTGGATTCACATAAGGGAACTGAAACTTGGGTGTTTGTCAAAATGTCCCTGTTGGCTTCTTGTTTTAAACTTTTCTGAATCTAACTATAACTAACTACATGGGTTTCTGGTTTCACCATTTCTAAGAAGATTTGTATTTGCAAGTACATTATGTTATGTGATGTCACCATTTCATGTACTTAGCAACTTAATTATGTTAATTAAGAGCTTTTATTAGGCTAAATTTTACAATAATATGTGTAATGATGAAACTACAGTAACACTTATTAAATCTTTCTTTGAGATTATGTGTATGTGATAAAGGTTTAATTTTTTTTTTTTTTTTTTTTTTGACTTGAGTAATTATTATTTAAGGGTAAATGTATCAATAATTTTTCAATTAAAATGTGGATATGAATATTATATTATGCCTTTACTAGGTGTAGCGTTCGGTATCCTACATTTTTCAGGAGAATTGAAACCGGAACCGTATAGTGCAGGTTCCCAAAAAAAGAAACCGGAATCGGAACCGCACAATTTAAGTTCTTAAATTCAAGGAACCGGAATCTAAAATGCAGGTTCCGGTTCCTTTCCCGGGTACCCTAAAAAAATCAATTACTCCCCTATTAGTTTAAAAAATGATAAAAATACCTTCAAAGTTTACAAATACACCCCACAAATTTTGATTACTTTTTCATTTGTGTCCATGTGGCTCATAAATCCTCTAATCTCTAGGCACACTTGAATTCAATCAATTCATCACAATTCACATAAATTCCTCAATCAAACAAAACACAAATAATAATTAAACAATCATACTATAAATCTATAATTTAATATTACAATTAATTAAATTTTTAATCATTTAATTAAGTATTTGTCCTATATTTATAATGAAATACTATAATTAATTAAGTAATCATACTATAAATCTATAATGTAATGTTATAATTAATTAAATTTTTATCATTTAATTAAATAATGTACTAATGTAATAAATTACTAATGTTTATAAGTAATATTATAAATTTATAATTAATTAATAATTATTTAACAATGTAATATTATAATTAATAAAGTCATCTACTATAAATTTATAATGTAATGTTATATTAATTAATTTTCTAATCATTTAATTAAGTTTGTGGAAATTAGACTAATGTTTATATATAATGTCATAACTAATTAAATAATCTTTTTATATATATTTATAATTAATTACATGATTAAACTATAATGTAATGTTATAATGAATTAAGTAATCATACTATAAATCTTTAATGTAACATTATAATTAATTAAATTTCTAATCATTTAATTAAGTATGGTACTAATGTTTATAATGGAATGTTATAATTAATTAAGTAATTATTTAATTAAGTAATCATTCGTTTATATATAATGTTTAATAATTACGTAATTATACTATAAATTTTATAATGTATATAAATTATTAATTTCTAATCATTTAATTAAGTATTATGCTAATGTAATAATTACTGATGTTTATAATATAATGTCATGATTAATTAAGTAATCATTTAATTATATAATATTATAATTAATTATGTGATCATACTATAATATATGTTAAATGAATAAGTAATCATACTATAAATATTAATTAATTAAATTTTTAAATCATTTAATTAAGTGTTGTACTAATGTTTATACTGAAATGTTATAATTATTAAGTAATTATCTATAAATCTGTATGTTATAATTACTAAGTAATTATTTATTGTACTATAATTTATAATTAATTAAGTAATTATCCTTTAAATCTATAATGTAATGTTATAATTAATAAATTTTTAATTATTTAATTAGTAATGTACTAAATAATAATGTAATGTTATTAAACTTATAATTAATTAAGTAATCATTTAACTATAATATAATATGTATGATATACTTAGAACTTGATAATCGAAGTAAATAACTAAGTATTATATTATTATTCAATCAAATTACTATTTTATTCAAAATAATTTTTTTAATACATTAAAACACTTTTAATTAGTCCTAATTCCAATTATACACTTATTAATCAAAACTTTAATATGATATTATAACACATATTAAAGTTTTTATATGATGTGTTTATATGTAATAAGTATAATTGTATATTTATTTAGTTAGGTTATTGTAAAAATTTAACTTTTTCCATTTAAAATTTGTTTATATGTAAAATACAATGGACCCCGACCATTTTTTATAGATATTTTAGCCCAGTTTCCAAAATGGGTACCCGCTGCAGGTTTCAAGCCGAGTATCACTACAGGTTCTTTTTTCTAGGTTCCGGTTCCTCCACTTGGAACCGAACCGAAACTGTACAATTCGGATAAAAAAAATGGAACCAGAACCTACCCCACACAATCGATTTCGGTTCTGGTTTTGATTTTATCCAAGTTCCGGTTCTACCGCTACCTGTGCTCCCCCTAGGCCTTTTTCTTGACATCCATTGGGCCATTTCCAATTTATTCCTTATATAATAAATACGAAATAGTAGAAATGTAAACGGTTGTAAAAGTGAGTAGAAAAATTATTTAAGCATTATCTGAATCAAGGAGCCCTTATAGCTCAGTGGTAGAGCTCAGTCTTGTAAACTGAAGGTCCGTAGTTCGATCCTGCGTGAGGGCAATGTTTTGCTTTTTAAAATTTATTTTTCTTTTTTATTGTCTGAGTCTCACCACAGACAAACAAGCTTAGAAGTTGGGGGTTTTCTTATTTTGACAATTAATGTGTAATGAAGCTAAAAGAGGAACATGTTAAAATGAGGACAATTCATTCAGGATAAAATGGTATGAGAATTGCTCTAAAATTGAATTGTTTACATCAGCTTTATTTGTAAACTCTGTATAATTCTAATGTAAATTGCTACAATAAAATATAAAATCTATGGTGAAGTAGTATGAATTTGAACTTTGCAAGAGCCGTGGTTTTGCTTAGAGTTTCTCGAGCAGCTACTGTGTCTGGATGATCCTCACCACTAATTGAAGTTCTAATAAAACACGCCTTCCTATTAGATCATCTCCTATGTCAAATTGCCCTCCTCTTAGCATTAGCTTCGCCCTAGTTTCAAGCACTGTTGCTCTTGATAGTGCCAACTCTTGCCATAGAGATGGATTTAACTGTGCATTAGTCTTGACTGGCCTCCAACAAAGTGATTTGTCTATCAACTTCTCAACCGGGTAACAAATTCGTGATCTGCCGCCTCCAAGGCTTTCGTGCATAGACGTAGGAGTTCCAAAGCAGCGGTGCACGAGATAATGTGATGAATGTCCTGATGCAAAGGCAAACCAATTCTTTTACCAAGTATAACAACTTGACACCTTGAGCTCAACAGCTTTTTGTTCAGTTCCGAATCCAATGCCAAGAAACATGCTGCCCTATATGAGGCGAATGATGGAATATAGAACCACGACTGATGACAGATTGAACCACTGCATAGCAACTCCAGTAACTGCTCTCTTGCGGCATAAAGCTTGACAAGCTCATTGAAATGGATGTAACCTTGCCTGGTCTACTTCTTGCAATATTGAATCTCAACAACATAGAATGCTTCAGCTTCTGATCTCTTGGTATATGAGGAAGTTAGTCCACAACTCAAGGAACATAATAACTGTTTCCAAATTCGGGTTCCCTTATACTTCTCAGGTACTTTGTGAGCAGCGAGGCCAATAGGGATACGGAATTGCAGTTGGTGCAAACCACCCACTTCTAGGACCATTCTGGTTGCCAAGCTCCTTGGCCCATCAGCATGATCAAATATTGAGAAACACCCTCAAGATTTGTAGTAGGAAAGTATTTCTCCTCAACGAATGAGCTTCTCTACCACTCCATGATAGGTCCCTCAAGGGCATTCTGTTAATGGTATCCAAGAGCCTGCTTGGATTATTGGGTAGCTCAGACAAAATTGCACCCACAATCGCTAGGCCCATGGTTAGCCTTCCAACTTTCTCCTCAATTACCCTAGGGCATCAACTTCTGTCATAGGTAGTCCTTGACACCTCCCTGCATTAAAGTCTTGCTTCCACCCCAGACAAGTAGGAGAGTTTTAAAGTTCCAAATTCATCACGCGAGAAGCGCGTGGATATTATAATGTGGGTCTCTCCACCAAAACGGGAAGCAGATCCATTATAAGTTTGTGATCCCACCAATCCTTTTCACTCTCTAAGTTATCGATGATTACTAAAAAGGGTATGTTCTCATGAGTTCTTTGCGAACTCTAGAAATGGCAGCCTCTTCCTGCTCTTCGAAGCTTTTTATTCTGGTTTTCTCTAGCAACTGTCAACCCCAACATCAACTTCTAGAAAT